TAAGTACTTGGTGGCAAAACCCTTGTTGGCAATCACAGAGGTCAGACGTTTCTTGTAGTTGGCCACCAGGTTTGCACACATCTCAGGAGGGATTTTGTCCCACTCCTCTTTGCAGATCTTCTCCAAGTCATTAAGGTTTCGAGGCTGACGTTTGGCAACGCAAACCTTCAGCTCCCTCCACAGATGTTCTATGGGATTAAGGTCTGGAGACTGGCTAGGCCACTCCAGGACCTTAATGTGCTTCTTCTTGAGCCACTCCTTTGTTGCCTTGGCCGTGTGTTTTGGGTCATTGTCATGCTGGAATACCCATCCACGATCCATTTTCAATGCACTGGCTGAGGGAAGGAGGTTCTCACCCAAGATTTGACGGTACATGGCCCCGTCCATCGTCCCTTTGATGCGGTGAAGTTGTACTGTCCCCTTAGCAGAAAAACACCCCCAAAGCATAATGTTTCCACTTCCATGTTTGACGGTGGAGATGGTGTTCTTGGGGTCATAGGCAGCATTCCTCCTCCTCCAAACACAGTGAGTTGAGTTGATGCCAAAGAGCTCGATTTTGGTGTCAAGGCGTGCTGAAGGTGGGTGTGGTGTAGGAATCATGCGCAGGACGCAGAGGCTCAGTCCAAAGGCTTTAGTGCAATATATAATATATATATACAACAGAAGCACAATAAGCCCGAAGGCAAAATACACGACGCACACCGGCGACAAAACAAATGAAGCACAAACATGTGCAAACAACCCTCTCCAAAACACTGGAGGGAAAATGTAGCTCCAAACACGAAACAGAAGCGCAATCACACACAACGACAAGCACACACAACGAGAACTAAATAGGACACTAACGAGGACTAACAAGACACAGGTGTACAACATCCAGACAAAACCAAACGAACATGAAACATAGATCGGTGGCAGCTAGTACTCCGGGGACGACGACCGCCGAAGCCTGCCCGAACCAGGAGGAGGAGCAGTCTCGGCCGAAACCGTGACATTTGGTCTCATCTGACCACAACACTTTCACCCAGTTCTCCTCTGAATCATTCAGATGTTCATTGGCAAACTTCACCTTCTCACCAAGCTGCTTGGTGATGGTCTTGTAGCCCATTCCAGCCTTGTGTAGGTCTACAATCTTGTCCCTGACATCCTTGGAGAGCTCTTTGGTCTTGGCCATGGTGGAGAGTTTGGAATCTGATTGATTGATTGCTTCTGTGGACAGGTGTCTTTTATACAGGTAACAAACTGAGATTAGGAGCACTCCCTTTAAGAGTGTGCTCCTAATCTCAGCTCGTTACCTGTATAAAAGACACCTGGGAGCCAGAAATCTTTCTGATTGAGAGGGGGTCAAATACTTATTTCCCTCGTTAAAATGCAAATCAATTTATAACATTTTTGACATGCGTTTTCTGGATTTTGTTGTTGTTATTCTGTCTCTCACTGTTCAAATAAACCTACCATTAAAATTATAGACTGATCATTTCTTTGTCAGTGGGCAAACGTACAAAATCAGCAGCGGATCAAATACTTTTTTCCCCTCACTGTAAAAGGCACTGAGAAAATATCTAACACATGGCTGAGTAATGACGTGTTCACTTTGAACAGTTGTGGACTGTATCATGCATTCTTCTTGGTGTCTTATCAATATAACAATTCAGAACAAAAGAACATTGTTATGAGCATTATCAACAGACGTATGGCATGTCAGAGCTTCTTTCAGACAGTGATCAGTGCACAGAACTAGTGGCTCGCACAAACATACACAAGAACGACAATGTTTTTTGGGGGAAAGAAAAGGTGAAAAATCACAATCATTTGTCTTACCTATAAGTGAAGACTCTAATAGAATTATAATCATACACTGAACAAAAATATAAATGCAACATGTAAAGTGTTGGTCCCATGTTTCATGAGCTGAAATAAAAGATCACAGACATTTTCCATATACACATAAAGCTTATTTCTCTCAAATTTTGTGCACACATTTGTTTACATCCCTGTTAGTGAGCGATTTATCCTTTGTCAAGATAATCCATCCACCTGACAGGTGTGGCATATCAAGAAGCTGATTAAACAGCATGATCATCACACAGGTGAACCTTGTGCTGGGGACAATACAAGGCCACTCTAAAATGTGCAGTTTTGTCACACAACACAATGCCACAGATGTCTCAAGTTTTTAGGGAGCGTGCAATTGGCATGCTGACTGCAGGAATGTCCACCAGAGTTGTTGCCAGATAATTTAATGTTAATTTCTCTACCATAAGCCACCTCCAACGTCGTTTTAGAGAATTTGGCAGTACGCCCAACTGGCCTCACAACCGCAGACCACGTGTATGGCGTCGTGTGGGCGAGCGGTTTGCTGATGTCAACGTTGTGGGCAGAGTGCCCCATGGTGGCGGTGGGGTTATGGTATGGGCAGGCATAAGCTATGGACAACGAAGGCTCTGTCGTAGCCGGCCGCGACCGGGAGACCCATGGGGCGGCGCACAATTGGCCCAGCGTCGTCCAGGGTAGGGGAGGGAATGGCCGGCAGGGATGGTAGAGCATGGCGTTTGCAACGCCAGGGTTGTGGGTTCGATTCCCACGGGGGGCCAGTATGAAAAATTAAAAGATAATGTAAGTCGCTCTGGATAAGAGCGTCTGCTAAATGACTAAAAATGTAACGAACACAATTGCATTTTATCGATGGCAATTTGAATGCACAGAGATACCTTGACGAGTTCCTGAGGCCCATTGTCGTGCCATTCATCCGCCTTCATCACCTCATGTTTCAGCATGATAATGCACGGCCCCATGTCACCAGGATCTATACACAATTCCTGGAAGTTGAAAATGTCCCAGTTCTTCCATGGCCTGCATACTCACCAGACATGTCACCCATTGAGCATGTTTGGGATGCTCTGGATCGACGTGTACGACAGTGTGTTCCAGTTCCCGCCAATATCCAGCAACTTCGTACAGCCATTGAAGAGGAGTGTGACAACATTCCACAGGCCACAATCAACAACCTGATCAACTCTATGCAAAGGAGATGTGTCGCGCTGCATGAGGCAAATGGTGGTCACACCATATACTGACTGGTTTTCTGATCCACGCCCCTACCTTTTTTTTAAGGTATCTGTGACCAACAGATGCATATCTGTATTCCCAGTCATGTGAGAACCATAGATTAGGGCCTAATGAATTTATTTCAATTGACTGATTTTCTTATATGAACTGTAACCCATAATGGTTGCATGTTGCGTTTATATTTTTGTTCAGTATATATACCTTCTAATCTGCACACAAAAACAAAACACATTTACCACCTCAATAGCCTATGCACATACTATATATTTTTGTAAATATTCATAATATTCAAAACGTTTTCAATTTCATTGGCTTTTAGTGTTCATCATCAAGTGTACTTTAGTTGATCAGCAATATCCCCTTTAAAACCTTCCTGCATAAACATTGTAGCACTTGGTTGCAGAAGTCAGAACTCAGTAGACACTCATTTCCCTTTCTAGTAAACTTTAATTTCCTGCTTCTTCAAAGAATGGTCAAGCACTCAATAATTAGGGAGGAAACTTAGGCGATACCAGTTAAACAGCATTAAATCTCCAGTATTCTGTGACAGAGCATGGATTTACACAATCGTTATTGAGTATTAATGTGCATCATTTAACTCCTCTATTTTCTGAGGAAGCATTTAGTACCACCATTAATTAAAGGTATTCATCAAAGCTAGGGATATTTAGTAAACATCAATAGACCTTTATTGAATCACTTTTAAAGTGCAAGACCATCGAAAGTGCATGAGTAGTGCCCTAGCTGGGACAACTCTGCCTCAGTAATGCAAATCTCACAAACACTTCACACAACAATAACACAGTCACAGTGGCAAGGCGTGGATAAGGACAAATGAATGTCATCGGGCCAAGGGATAAAATAGGCCTTTGTATGTGAACTTTGGAATTGCAGACTTTTACACTGACATAATATTCTCTATTGGCCGAGAAGACATTATTAATCCACAGTGACATTCACTTCACTGACTTAAAACAGCTCAACATACAGCACATTGGGGTACTGTTCTGTCCCCACACAAGATGCAAGACAGCACCCTCTCCAAGTCATTACAGGACAGGAGGATCCATTCTCCAAAGCACAATTGGAAGGAATAATGTTGCCAAACTTCTGTGGGTCTGGTGTTGACTTCTCTCCGTCTTTTAGTGACATCATTGGACTGAGATAGTCATTGGCTGATGGTATGAAATGTTTCATTCAAACCCAACTCACATACGTTATAGATCAATGTCAGGCTTGCTTCTGGCTTGCTTCCAGGGAATGAGCTGTGGACGTGACTAGCCGAGCCAGAAGCCCCGCCCCATTCAGTAGACCTGAACTGGGAACAGTCCATGTCTGTTTCTGTGTGGTCTGTCAGTGAGTGAGAGTTTGGCTGTGGACAGTTCAGATTTAGCTGTGGACGGTTCAGGTGGACGGTTCAGCGTGTATATCTAGAGATGAACTGAACTGACCCCTGCAGCTCTTGATGATCCAAAGACTACGCCACATGGAGACTGTGTTCATGTTGTACAGTAACAGTACGCCTCATCCAAGCCAACGTTCATGTGGCCAGCATTGGTAAGAACTGGTATGGTTTATCATATCATCAAACCATTTGCCGTCTGAAAACCTGCCCACAACTCACACCATCCAGTACTTCCAATGATGTTGCAAATATACAGCGATGGACCCATTGGCTGAGAATAGAGCCTGCCAGTCATATGATCTGATGACCAGTTGAAAGGTTCCTTTTGACTGAGATATGGAGTTATTGAGTTCAGTAAGCACTACCCTGGTAAGCAGGAGATTTCCCATTCCACGTATGAACCATCAGCAGGAATAGCTCTGGAAGGGGATAGTAATGTAGATCTACTTCTCCTTCATATTTCATTTAAACATAATGGATCCTGGGCTTACATAAACTGCATAAAGTATATATACAGTATATCTGCTTAGTGGTTCAGGTCTATCTTGGAGAGAACACCCCAGATGGTGCTCGGTAGGTGGTCCAATAGAATCATAGATTGCCATTACAGAGTGACATTGCACTACATGGAAACAACGTTTAACCCGGTCAGAAAAAAATACAAAAAGTTCTGCACATTGAAGAGTAAATGATCCAAACACTATTTTGTCATGCAGCCTGTGGTCCTAGCAGTATGAGGCATGTGGACAGTACAATGGCTCTGCTTTCTGCCTCAGTAAAGAAACATTAATCTATAGACATTTCTCTTGAGTTCTGACTCAGATATAGAGACCTGCTCTCCACACCTGGAGGTGACAGTGTGTGTGTGGGTACATGTGAGACGTGACAGTGTGTGTGTGTGTGTGGGTATGTGGGAGACATGACAGTGTGTGGGTATGTGTGAGACGTGACAGTGTGTGTGTGGGTACGTGTGAGACGTGACAGCATGTGTGTACGTGTGAGACGTGATAGTGTGTGTGTGTGTGTGTGTGTGTGTGGGTATGTGTGAGACGTGACACTATGTGTGTGTGTGTGTGTGTGTGTGTGGGGGTACGTGTGAGACATGACAGTGTGTGTGTGTGTGTGTACGTGTGAGACATGACAGTGTGTGTGTGTGTGTGTGTGTGTACGTGTGAGACGTGACAGTGTGTGTGTGTATGTGTGTGGGTACATGTGTGTGTGTGGGTACGTGTGAGACGTGACAGTGTGTGTGTGTGTGTGGGTACGTGTGAGACGTGACAGTGTGTGTGTGTGTTCGTGTGAGACGTGACAGTGTGTGTGTGTGGATGGGTACAGTATGTGGGTGTATATTATAAAGATTATGTGGTCGCCTCACTGGGTGGGGGAGCAGTCATCTAAGTCCAGCAGTTCCCTCACCAGCCTCTCTCCAAACTGCGCTCGGCTGTAGCGCTTGACGTGGTAGGCATCGGACATCTTGTACAGGATATAGGCGTTGTTTATGGCGATGCTGATGGTCAGCCAGAACACCTGCTGCCACGTCTTGTTGGGCTTGTGGAAGATGAAATACCTGAGAGAAAAGACCAACCCTGAGTGGCTATCTGGGATCTTGACAAATTGGTAACTTTATAATATGTGTCAGATGTCCATCACGTCCAGTTATCTGAGTGGATAATGTGAAATTAGACAGAGTTACGATGGACGGAAGGACACAATATTCATGAATTTGGAACAGCGTAATACTTTGCCATATTAAAATAATTTCACAAGACCAACAACAATCCAGGATGGCAGACTGTCATGGAGAGCTACTGGTTACGCATGCTTTTGCTCCAACCTCGTTGTAACACAGCTGATTCAGCTAATTAATGTCCTTGTTAGCAGCTAGTAGAATCAAGTGAGCTATAGCTAGGGTTGGAGCAAAAGCCTGCAGGAGGGTCGCTTCTCAGGAGACGGGTTGGCCACCCCTGTTCTATGATGATGAACATTCATATTGGCGAACACCTTTCTCCCAGGGTGACAAATGAGTACAGATTACTACAATAGATCCAGTATGTCAACTAGTGGGCATATTAGTGACTCACTTGCTGTACTTGTCGTCATACTTGCAGATGTAGCTGAGGTGTGCAGCGAAGGCCTCCACAGCCAGCGGACAGGGAATCTCACCACTTTTCCTCTTGATGATCACCCCTGGAACCAAAAACATGACTCAGACAAGGCTAATGGGAGCTGGGAATCACATTTCACTGAGTTAAAAAAATAAGTATTATGTAAACAGATTTTCAGACTCAGTGACAAAGTATAATACAAGTGACATTTGGGGCATAATATCTTAACAGTAATGTATAGCCTATCTGTAACTGGATAAAGAGTGATGCTGTACATAACTAAACTGCAGGCCTCAAAATCCCATTTTGATGGTTTCTAACTATAGCTCCAAAATAACCAATATATTCTGCAGAAAATACCTTGATCTGTAACAAGAAAAACATGACTGCATGCTTACCTGTTAAAAAGTATCAACCCAATACCTAAAATAAACTGATTCCAGGTGAAGCACCACATGAACAATAGATGAACATGAGGAGTTATAGAGTAATTATGGAGGTAGCTGTGAGGGAACGAGTCTAGTAGTCCCCTGGATCCCAATTGAACCATTAGCAGGCCTTTGATACAGTTGCCTTGACTGAACCTCCATCTGTCGCTTCCATTAAACTTATCCTCAGCTATTTTATGCTAATTACACTACAGTGTAATGTTGCATGCAAATTGGAAAGTTACAGGAGGGTAATTTGAAAAATAAATGCGAGATCAAAGAATAAGCTCATATCAGTCAGGAAACGCAATGGATTTATTCTTAACATAATTTAAGAATATAACTGAGCAGCAAACTTGATAAGGTCTCAATTTGGAATTTGGGAATATTTCTCTGACTCTCCCTCACCATTGCCTCAGCTTCAGTCGTTCACATGATTACTTCATTTCACAGCCATTTCACCAATGATACAGTGGTATATTTATTCAAAGGTCAGATAGTTCTCTCTGTAGCTATAATGAAGCGTTATGACCACCACTTAACCATCCAAAGAAAAGAATGACTGTAGTCCGTATAAGAAAAGATTGGAGGGACACACCAAAGGTTGGGTTGGGAGGGGGTTGTGTTTTGCTGTATTTTGGGTTTTTATATTGAGATCATTTGTACTGGATTAAGGGACAATGAAAAAGACCCTGCATCCTCTCTAGGATTCATTCAGATTGGGAGGATTTTCCTCGTTCAATACAACACTAATAATGCCACTTTTGTTTTAACACAGTCCATGAACAGAATCCTAACTCTCCTTCGACTCCACTCATCTACTCTGGATCCATGCTGTTTATCTATCCAGATATAATGCATTTTCTCACCCCATTTACAGTGGGGGAAAAAGTATTTAGTCAGCCACCAATTGTGCAAGTTCTCCCACTTAAAAAGATGAGAGAGGCCTGTAATTTTCATCATAGGTACACGTCAACTATGACAGACAAATTGAGGAAAAAAAATCCAGAAAATCACATTGTAGGATTTTTTATGAATTTATTTGCAAATTATGGTGGAAAATAAGTATTTGGTCACCTACAAACAAGCAAGATTTCTGGCTCTCACAGACCTGTAACTTCTTCTTTAAGAGGCTCCTCTGTCCTCCACTCATTACCTGTATTAATGGCATCTGTTTGAACTTGTTATCAGTATAAAAGACACCTGTCCACAACCTCAAACAGTCACACTCCAAACTCCACTATGGCCAAGACCAAAGAGCTGTCAAAGGACACCAGAAACAAAATTGTAGACCTGCACCAGGCTGGGAAGACTGAATCTGCAATAGGTAAGCAGCTTGGTTTGAAGAAATCAACTGTGGGAGCAATTATTAGGAAATGGAAGACATACAAAACCACTGATAATCTCCCTCGATCTGGGGCTCCACGCAAGATCTCACCCCGTGGGGTCAAAATGATCACAAGAACGGTGAGCAAAAATCCCAGAACCACACGGGGGGACCTAGTGAATGACCTGCAGAGAGCTGGGACCAAAGTAACAAAGCCTACCATCAGTAACACACTACGCCGCCAGGGACTCAAATCCTGCAGTGCAAGACATGTCCCCCTGCTTAAGCCAGTACATGTCCAGGCCCGTCTGAAGTTTGCTAGAGTGCATTTGGATGATCCAGAAGAGGATTGGGAGAATGTCATATGGTCAGATGAAACCAAAATACAACTTTTTGTAACAACTCAACTCGTCGTGTTTGGAGGACAAAGAATGCTGAGTTGCATCCAAAGAACACCATACCTACTGTGAAGCATGGGGGTGGAAACATCATGCTTTGGGGCTGTTTTTCTGCAAAGGGACCAGGACGACTGATCCGTGTAAAGGAAAGAATGAATGGGGCCATGTATTGTGAGATTTTGAGTGAAAACCTCCTTCCATCAGCAAGGGCATTGAAGATGAAACGTGGCTGGGTTTTTCAGCATGACAATGATCCCAAACACACCGCCCTGGGCAACGAAGGAGTGGCTTCGTAAGAAGCATTTCAAGGTCCTGGAGTGGCCTAGCCAGTCTCCAGATCTCAACCCCATAGAAAATCTTTGGAGGGAGTTGAAAGTCCATGTTGCCCAGCGACAGCCCCAAAACATCACTGCTCTAGAGGAGATCTGCATGGAGGAATGGGCCAAAATACCAGCAACAGTGTGTGAAAACCTTGTGAAGACTTACAGAAAACGTTTGACCTGTGTCATTGCCAACAAAGGGTATATAACAAAGTATTGAGAAACTTTTGTTATTGACCAAATACTTATTTTCCACCATAATTTGCAAATAAATTCATTAAAAATCCTACAATGTGATTTTCTGGATTTTTTTTCTTCTCATTTTGTCAGGCCTCTCTCATCTTTTTAAGTCGGAGAACTTGCACAATTGGTGGCTGACTAAATACTTTTTTCCCCCACTGTATTTACAAATGGGATTAAAGATGTCTGAGGTGAGAGACCTTTTCACATGCCACACAACAGGGATTTTCTCAAATTGTCATTATCTCTGAACATCACTCTATCCTCATACAGGGAGAGAGAATGATGAGGTGTTACATCACGGTTCCCCCGCAGTCTACAGGATAGATTATGAGTGCATTAACACCTAGGAGTTACTGTGATCTGGGAAACCCACATCATGTCAATCGTGGGTGGTGACTCATACTGTATCAGTCAGCCCTAAAGAGCTTAATAATGATATTCCATTTCAGAGCATTCTAGTGATGCAGACATGATCAAAATGAAGAGAAACGTTTTGCTTTCAAATTGAAGGCAGTTCACCACAAATCTATGCCCATGATTAAATACAGTTGAAACATCTCCCTGAATGCATCTTCTGAATGAAAATGTATGAAAAAGAAAACGTTGTTAATATAACACTGGTTGCAGAGCGGGAATCCTCACCTTCCTTGGTAGGTGAGTAGGCGTTGGTAAGGAAGCGGAAGTGTCCCTTGTTGTACCAGCTGATGAGGGAGGTGTTGCCTCTCATCATGCTGCGGGACTGGCCCCTCTGCTGGGGGCTCTCAGGGTTCACCAGCATGCACTGGGGCAGGCCGGTGCAGTCACTCTTCCTGGTGCTCAGCAGCCCACAGCAGTAAATCTCTGGTGGAGTACAAACACACCTTTAGACATCTGGGACACGTTCAGGATGGTGCAACATACAGAAAGGATTTTTAGCAAAATGTTCCACAGCACTGTTAAATCTACTGCTGTGGGCACAATGTACTGTACATGTGAGAGTTCTGATCCTGATGTGTGCTGAATATAACCCCCTTCTTTCCTATAGCCCACCCTCCTGCAGTAATGACAGATGGCCCAGATTACAGGTGGCCAGTCAGTGTTGAGATTGAGATCAGAGAATAAAGCCTAGAGGAGGAGGCGTTTGTAATTTTTAAGGAGTTGATCATTATTCATATCTCTGTGTGTTAGCTGCTGCAGGGCTACAGGCTGGTTTACTGTGGCCTCACGTCCCCTCTCTCTAGGCTGTTTGCTCTGTTCATTAACAATAGGATGAACTGGTGCTCTCGGTTTCCAAAATTGACATCTTGGTTCTCAGGGAAGTCTCAACGTGAACTTCAATTGACTGTCTTGTCTTTCAGTGCTACAGTAGCCGGAGGTCGTGTATGGTAATTAAAAACAGCAGGGGATGAGCAAGAAGGAGATTACAGTACTGTAAAGAGAAAGAGAGACGGAGAGAGAGAGAGAGAGCGAGAGAGAGAGAGAGCGAGCGAGAGGAAAGAGGTGGATGGAGATAATGAGAGGGTGAGAGAGATAAATGGGATGAAAGATGCAGATCTACCCTGTTTCTCAAACTCCTGGTACAGGTTGAGGCTGGTGATGCTGGGCCCGGTGAAGATGATGCTGTTGCGGCCTGAGAGGTTCTGACACAGCTGTTTGGCCACCATACTGTGGAGCTGAGGCTTGTTCTTCAGGGTAGCCAACCCATCAGGACCCTGGCCCTCCTTTAGATGCACATAGATCTGGAAGAGCGACACAGACTGTCAATACCACCATAATGTCATCAGGTACCTAGCGGTTAAGAGCGTTGGGCCGGTAACCAAAGCGTAGCTGGTTCGAATCCCCGAGCCGACTAGGCAAAACATCTGTCGATATGACCTTGAGCAAGACACTTAAACCTAATTGCTCCTCCTGTAAGTGGCTCTGGATAAGAGTGTCTGCTAAATGACTAAAATGTCAAATGTAAATGTCATACACTGACATACAGAAATCAATACATAATGATCTCAGGAATGATCTGTGTAGCAGCTAGTGATCCAATTAGCCACATTAATGTGGCTCCTACATTCTGAATCACTGACTTAGCTCCATTGACTACCATTTACATTTAAATACTTCTCTGATCAGACAAGTTGATTGATACGCTATTTCTCATCAAACAATGTAGTTGACAATACTATCCCAGTTGTTTTCTATTGACAATACTAACCCTGTTGTTTTCTATTGACAATACTAACCCTGTTGTTTTCCATTGACAATACTATCCCAGTTGTTTTCTATTGACAATACTAACCCTGTTGTTTTCCATTGACAATACTAACCCTGTTGTTTTCTATTGACAATACTAACCCTGTTGTTTTCTATTGACAATACTAACCCTGTTGTTTTCTATTGACAATACTAACTCTGTTGTTTTCTATTGACAATACTAACCCTGTTGTTTTCTATTGAATATACTAACCCTGTTGACAATACTAACCCTGTTGTATTCCATTGACAATAGTAACCCTGTTGTTTTCTATTCACAATACTAACCCTGTTGTTTTCTATTGACAATACTAACCCTGTTGACAATACTAACCCTGTTGTTTTCCATTGACAATACTAACCCTGTTGACAATACTAACCCTGTTGTTTTCCATTGACAATACTAAACCTGTTGTTTTCTATTGACAATACTAACCCTGTTGTTTTCCATTGACAATACTAAACCTGTTGTTTTCTATTGAATATACTAACCCTGTTGACAATACTAACCCTGTTGTATTCCATTGACAATAGTAACCCTGTTGTTTTCTATTCACAATACTAACCCTGTTGTTTTCTATTGACAATACTAACCCTGTTGACAATACTAACCCTGTTGTTTTCCATTGACAATACTAACCCTGTTGACAATACTAACCCTGTTGTTTTCCATTGACAATACTAAACCTGTTGTTTTCTATTGACAATACTAACCCTGTTGTTTTCCATTGACAATACTAAACCTGTTGTTTTCTATTGACAATACTAACCCTGTTGTTTTCCATTGACAATACTAACCCTGTTGTTTTCTATTGACAATACTAACCCTGTTGTTTTCCATTGACAATACTAACCCTGTTGTTTTCCATTGACAATACTAACCCTGTTGTTTTCCATTGACAATACTAACCCTGTTGTTTTCCATTGACAATACTAACCCTGTTGTTTTCTATTGACAATACTAACCCTGTTGTTTTCAAGTAAGTGATGAATCTCGGTCTTGCAAGCTACACAAAAAAGGACATGATCGATTCATTCTTCTTCCCACCAATTAGTACACAGCCCGTGCATATCCATACATTCTCATGTCTTCCTGGGTCTGTTTGAGGCACGGGGCAGCAGTCATTTGACGTATCATTCTCCCACCAAGAGCAGAGAGCAATTATACTAAGTGGACTGGCGCTTTCTCCTGGGAATCAGTAATATAACATTGGTTCTGGAGACTGATTGAGGCACTGGATGGTCCCACATCAGTCATCCAATCACACAGTTTGTCTGGATCTCGCAGCTGTGTCTGAGTGAGGGGGAAGGGCATGGTCTGATTGTCCTGTCCTGCAGTGTTGGTGTACTCTACAGTCTAGACCAGGGCTGCCCAACCCTCTTCCTGGAGATCTACTGTCCTGTAGGTTTTCAGTCCAACCCTAATTTACCATATCTGATTCAGCTAGTTAAGGTCTTGTTGAGCAGCTAATAAGTAGAATAAGGTGTGTTAAATTAGGGTTGGACTGAAAACCCACAGGACGGTAGATCTCCAGGAAGACGTTTGGGAAGCCCTGGTCTAGACCAATTGCAGGCAGTCTTGTGAAAGCCCCGGTGTGGTTGTACTGGGGGTAATTGAAGGTGAACAGTCTTTGTCACAAAGTTGGCTAAGTACTAGCTCCCAGATATGAGTAGAAATCCAAGAGGCTACAGTCCCTCCCTCCCTCCCCCCTCCCTCCCCCTTTTCCCTCCCTCCCTCCCTCCTCCCTCCCACACAAACATAACATGATGCATGTACACACACACACACACACACACACAAACACACACACACACACACACACACACAAACACACTGTACCTGACAGATGAAACCAGTGGAGGTGCACTGGCGGACCCACAGACTGAACTTCCTCTTCCTCCTCTTCCTCAGCTCTCTCTCCGTACAGGTGTTGATGAACACCGGGTCCTCGTCAATCAGGGGCTCATGGAGCACCTTTGGGACAGGGAGAAAGCATCAGTATTACATCATGGAGCACCTTTGGGACAAGGAGAAAGCATCAGTATTACATCATGGAGCACCTTTGGGACAAGGAGAAAGCATCAGTATTACATCATGGAGCACCTTTGGGACAAGGAGAAAGCATCAGTATTACATTATGGAGCACCTTTGGGACAAGGAGAAAGCATCAGTATTACATCATGGAGCACCTTTGGGACAAGGAGAAAGCATCAGTATTACATCATGGAGCACCTTTGGGACAAAGAGAAAGCATCAGTATTGCATCATGGAGCACCTTTGGGACCTGGGGGAAAGCATCAGTATTACATCATAGAGCAACAACAACAAACAAAAAGTAAATGCCTCCTTCAGCCAAGAGCAGGTGTATAACCAGAGATGTGGGGGTAGTGAACCACTAAATGCCTGAGGGTGGCAGCGTGGTAGCTGTTGCTGACTAATTGTACTGTATATGTGTGGACTACAGACTAAAGATAGGGAAACAGTGTGTCTAACCCCTCTATCTGTCTGGCTGGCTCTCTAGTCTGTAGGATGTCAAGGTGGTTGGACGACCCAGGCATGCGTTGCCACAGTGATTTTGAAATGGGACCAAGGAGCCACAACGAGGTACAGGTGGTGTTTGTTTTGCCCAGAACAGAACAGACAAGCCATATTGAGTTCTGTAGACATGCTGCTTACTACCTCTCTGTTAACTCATACTTCCTACCACTGGGGAACCACACAGACACACCGTCTGACTGAGAGGAAGTACCTAGAATGTCTGCTAGGTCTGCAGGAGAGCCTGAACTGATCAGGGAGCAGGGATTTCAGACATGCATTGAGCACTGTAGAGAAGGCGTGATGTGACTGGTTGTTCCAGGTTGATTTGTCTTGACGATGCAATGTCATGTCAGTGATAGAAATGCCTGGATCCTTTACAATCAATAAGGCACAGAGACATGTTGACAGTTGACAACAGGAACAGCAGCTGTAGATAGTTATCCACAGGTCTCCCTAGTTAAAGAGATCTTGATCATCAAAAGGATTTTGTAAATAATTCAGTTATTCCTACATGGGTGAAATCAGTCACAATTGAAAAAGCTCTGTTTAAATGTGTGTATTGTCTGACATTTCACTGCTGCCTGAAATATGACAGTACGGCTATAGACCTGTCCTCTAGAACCTCTCTACTGATATTACTATCATCTATTAATGCTCTGTTAGTCTTTGGCCTGTGGGGGATGGATGTGTATCAAACCCTTTTCTCAACCCCAATGACTTCATCTCAGTGGAGACCATGACACAGATTAATTCTATCTGTCTTCTTTGTCTGCTTGTCTCCTGCAGGGGCCATACTGGCTGACAGCTACTGCATTAGCTAAGATAGGTGGCAGTCTGAGAACAATGACCTACCTGAGAGAGGTACACTGTGTCTGAGAACTATTACCTACCTGAGAGAGATACACCGTGTCTGAGAACCATGACCTACCTGAGAGAGAACCATTACCTACCTGAGAGAGATACACCGTGTCTGAGAACCATTACCTACCTGAGAGAGATACACCGTGTCTGAGAACCATGACCTACCTGAGAGAGATACACCGTGTCTGAGAACCATTACCTACCTGAGAGAGGTACACCGTGTCTGAGAACCATTACCTACCTGAGAGAGATACACCGTGTCTGAGAACCATTACCTACCTGAGAGAGATACACTGTGTCTGAGAAGATAGAGATGGAAACAAAAGGTTCACCTTCTATCTGCCAGATCTCTAAACAGAGGTGTTTGTGTTATGTACGTTAATGACAGAGAGTAACAATGGACAGCTAGCTAAGCAGAATTGTTAGTGCCACAAAGCTCAGCAATTTGAATGTACTTTCCAAAGAACCCCTGCTATGCCAGAGATGCACTGGAAGGCACCTTTCCCTTCGTCTTAAAGTAGAAACTTCACTTAATGAGCTGTCTAAAAGGGAGAAACAACACATTTCTATAAAGGCTTCTGTTCTGCTCATTATAACAGGCAGAGGCAAAAGGAGGTAGGCTTCACAGACAGAAAAACTGTACATGGAACATTTTGGGTAGACATGTTTTCTTGGCCACAGCCAGGGAAAAGGCATTCATTATTCAGACAGAACATCCATCCCCAAGCTGTGCTGATCAGAGCCCCAGACACAGGCAGCTCAGTCAGAGACAGGATATCACCAACCCCCCACTGTGGAGCTATGGAGGGCATGTTTTACCTCACATCTCTACAGCTACTGGACTCAGTGATATAGATGGCACTGGCACTCAGCAGTAGGTGCAGATAATAACAAACTGAATGTCTAGGTGAAAGTATTTGCATTGGCAAATTATGAGGGTTTTGTACAATGCCTGCTGGTTTTTACAGATAGAGAGCGAGAGAGAGAGAGAGAGGTGGGGAGAGAGAGAGAGAGAGAGAGAGATAGAGAGAGAGAGAGGTGGGAGATGCGATAGAAGCGATAGCCTAGGCCGATCCGCCGCGAAGTTTTGGGGATGAATAGCTCCTAGCAGAACGATCTCTAATCTGCTAGGCTTCGCGTCATTATAGGAGAGCGTGAGCGTCGAGTGAAGACCATAGACTACGCTGAAGCCCTTTAGCGAGAGCGGTACTGGTGTGTGGGGTGAGAACAGATCAAGGAAACCAGCAGAGAGAAAATACACACCAGATGGTGTGGGGGATCGAACTAGAAACCTGAGAGCAGGTGCTGTTATCTGATCAGCTACTGGGCTGTGCTGCTATGTTCACTCACCTGGGGGCCTGATCGGGCCAGAGGCTGTGGTGTGAAGGTGCATTCCCTTTCCCTCAGCTCTGGCTGAGTGGGTCTGCCTCATTTCCATCTAGACTCCTAGGAGTGGAGCGGAGCGGAGTGGAGTGGAGGGGAGTGGAGAGGAGGGGAGTGAAGTTGAGGGGAGTGGAGAAGAGGGGAGTGGAGCAGAGCGGAGGGGAGTGAAGTGAAGTTGAAGGGAGTGGAGCGGAGGGGAAGGAAGGTGCCCTCTCAACACTCCTTTCCTCCCCTGTCAGCTCCGGGAGCCACCAGCGCGCCAATTTGATCCGCCATGTCTGACAGGGAGTTTACATACAATGCGGAACGCCTGATGGTCACCAAGAAATACGCTGATGCAAACTCTGTCAGCCTCCTGTGCACTGTGTATATAGCTGAGAGTACACTACTCCATGACTGACACATTGGGCATATCCCAGAGTTATTCTCAGATACAAGTGTTATACAATTTAGAACATTTGAACAGGTATTTCAAATAATACAATGTAGCCTTATTATTGCCTTACTAAAATGCTATATTGGTTGTTATGATGGTTGTTATATTGGTTGTTATATTGTTATATTGGGTTATGTTATATTGGTGTTTTTGTTGTTATATGGTGATTATATTGTTATATGGTGTTATATTGGTATGTTCTCTTGTATATGGTTGGTGTGTTGGGATAATTGGTTGTTTATGGTTATATGGTGGCTATGGTTATTTGGTTGTTATATGGTTGTTCATGTGTATATGGTTGTTATATTGTTATATTGTTGTTTGTGTATATTGGTTGTCTATTGTTATATTGGTTGTTATAGATTGTTTTTATATTGGTGGTTATTGGTGTCTATTGTTATATTGGTTGTTATATTGTTATATTGGTTGTTATGTTGTTTTGGTTATATTGTTATATTGGTTGTTATATTGGTTGTTCTATTGTTATATTGGTTGTTATATTGTTATATTGGTTGTTATGTTGTTATATTGGTTGTTATATTGTTATATTGGTTGTTATATTGGTTGTTCTATTGTTATATTGGTTGTTATGTTATATTGGTTGTTATTGTTGTTATATTGGTTGGTTTATGTTGGGTTTTTATTGGTTGCCGTTGTTATTGTTATATTGGTTTTATATGTTTATTGTTGTTATATGTTTATTGGTTGTTTATTGTTTTGTGGTTGTTATATTGGTTGTTATATTTGTTATATTGGTGTTATATTGGTGTTATTGGTGTTATTGTTTATGGGTTTGTTATTGTTATATTGGTTGTTATATTGTTATATCTGTTGTTATATTGTTTTATTGGTTGTTATATTGTTATGCTGGTTGTTATATTGGTTGTTATGTTGTTATCTATTGGTTGTTTATATTGGGTTAATTGGTTGTTTATTGTTCTATATTGGTTGTTCATTGTTATTGGTGTTATTTGTTATTGTTATATTTATTGGTTTGTTTAATCCATTTGTTAATTGTTATTGGTTGTTATATTGTTATTGTTTTATATTGGTTCTATTGTTATATTGGTTGTTATATTGTTATATTGGTTGTAT